GAGCCACTGCACCGAGGGGGCTAGACGGCTGGGTAAGGGGTTTTCCCAGCCCAAGCAATAATTTTAGGATCTTTTCCCGCCTCTACACAACACCATTTTGCAGCGGGGTTGCCTGAACCCCGTGAGCTTGGCTGAAGGAGGAGAAAAAGGGGAGCTGCGTGGTGACCATCCCTAAAATTAGCTTTTCCCTGAGCGACAAGGGGCCTGCGGTCGCCAGCTCTAAAATTAAATAGCAGATAGTGCCGGGGAGGGCAGATTTGTGCTGGAGCCGGAGCGGGCCGGCGAGTGGGGCGCCTGGCTGCTGGCCCGGGGGCCAGCGTGGTGCTTGAGGAGGTAGAAGTGATTTTATTTCGGGCTGTGCTGAGGTCAGGGAGCGAATGTCGCCTTCCTCCGTGCCTCAGTTTCCCCAGGCTAAGGATACCGGTCCTGCAGGTGCGTTGGCCTGGCCCGGCTGCACTGCGGTTTTCCATGCAGCTGCTCAGCTCCTCTCCCCGGAGCAGAGGTGGATGTTCCGAGGAGGAGGAGGAGTTTTTCCTGGCAGCTCGGCATGATTTTGGGATGAAGCAGAAGAAACGTTGGTTCGCGGAGAGGCTCGGCAGGTGCCCGGCTGCTGGGGCAGGAGCGACGCCAGCTTCAACGCAAGCCGGCGGTTTGAATTTAGCTTGGATAAGGCAAACTGCGTCCTGCCTGGGGTGAGGCCAGCGGAGCCAGGGGAGTTGTTAATTCACGGCTGGGGTGGTTCTTGCCAGCAAGGACCTGCCTGCTCATGGCCAGGGCCGGCTGGGCAGCGGCTGCCTGCCCTTGGCTCCCTTCCCCCGGATGTTTTGGCTCCGGGACCGGGTGGCCGCTGCGGTACCACGTGTCCGAAGCATTTCCTCCGGGATGGGACAATCCTGGGTCAGCTCGGCGGAGCCACCGAGGAAATTCGGAGAGGTTGGGGCTGCTGGCAGAAAACCCAATTCGTGGCTGCGTCGTTCCCGCCGTGCCAGGGTGCCCTCAGCCAGCGGGTGCTCACCCGGCGCTGCCGGGACGGTGCCACGCTCTGGTGACATGGCATGGGCTCATCTGGGGACACATCCTGGCCTCCTGTGAACCCCCTGGCCCGGCCCACACCCCACGGTGGCACGGAGGTGCCTTGAGCTTTGTGGGCACCGCTATCACGGGCTTAATTAACGTCGTTACGCTGGGAATTAGTGCCCAGCCCATGGTTTAGATTTTAACTGGTTTCTTGTTTCCTGGGGTGGGGGGGAGGGAAGGGCTGGGCCTGGTGGCATCGCTGGGTGCTGCAGCCCAGCAGTGGGGCTGGGGGTGGTCTCCCTTCCAACGTCCATGTGTCTGTCCGCAGGGAAGTCCCACCTGGCCATCGTGCAGAAGGTGAACAACGAGGGCGAGGGAGACCCCTTCTATGAGGTGCTGGGGCTGGTGACGCTGGAGGACGTCATCGAGGAGATCATCAAGTCAGAGATCCTGGACGAGTCGGATACCTACAGTAGGTTTGGGGCTCGGCCCCTCTCTCTGCCTCGTCGCGTGCCGGGGTCCTCCCTGTCACACACCCCCCCAACCCTGACATCGTGCTCCTCCCCGCAGCCGACAACCGCAGCAAGAAGCGGGTGGGCAACCAGAAGAACAAGCGGGACTTCTCGGCCTTCAAGGACCCCGTCAATGAGCTGAAGGTGAAGGTCTCCCCGCAGCTGCTGCTGGCCGCTCACCGCTTCCTCTCCACGGGTGAGTTGGTTTTTGGGGGGGGGGAAGCCTCCCCGGCAGCTGCGTGGGCTCCATCCCCATCCCCCCACTGAGGAATCATAGAATCATAGAACGGCTTTGGTTGGAAAAGCCCTTTAAGATCATTGAGTCCAACCTTTAACCAAACCCTGCCACCCCACCACTAAACCCTGGCCCTCAGCACCTCATCTGCCCTTCTTTTAAATACCTCCAGGGA